TAGGAGGTGGAGCCAGGTGTGATGTGGTGGATCTCTGGGGGTGTGACTTGGAAAGATGTATTCTTGATTCCAGATTTTCCCTTTTTCTCTCTGTGTCTTAGCCATGATTAATTGAGCAACTTTCCTCTACCACATCTTTCCACAATGTGGCTTCTGTCTTGGACCACTAAAACCATGAACTGAACACTCTCAAAGTAGGAGCCAAAATAAATGTTACTTCTTCTTTTTTTTTTTTTTTTTTTTTTGGTGGTGGTGGTATTGGGGCTTGACCTCATATCTTTGCACTAAGCTATAAATCTTTCCTGTAGCAATTTATAACTTTATTTTAATTTTTAAATATTTTTTCTCAGCACGTTTGCAGTACATAATGGTTGAATTCATTGTGTAGCCTGGGTACACGTACATAATTTATTGTGGCTTAAATGTCCCTCCAAAGGCTCATGTAGTCATTTTCTTTATTCATTCTTCTGTTGGTAGACATATAGTTTGCTTTCAAGATTTAGGTATTATGAATTGTGCTACTCTAAATGTGAGTAGTCATGTTTTACTGTAATATGACATATTTCACTGTTTCAGAAAGACACCTAGAAAGTGAATTATATATTTTAAAGTGCAATAATGTCAAGTTCCCTTCTATCAATACTTGCTATCTGACTTTTCTACTTATTTTTGTTTTATTTTGATAATTTATATCTTTTGGAGTAATATTAAATTCACTTGTATTTTTAACGTTATTAGTGTAAGATTTTTACCTAGCAGTTTTTCATATCTATATGTCTATCTATCTATCTATCTATCTATCTATCCATCTTTTTATCTATCTTTTCTCATTATTGTCATTTCTCTCCTTTTCTTGATTAGATATTTATTTATCTTTTATTTTCTGGCAGTACTTAGTATTCAGAAATTGAACCTGAGACCCTGTATTTTTTAATTTTTAAAAATTTTGAGACATTGTCTTGCTAGGTTGCCTAGGCAGGACTGGAACTTGTGATTCTTCTGCCTCAGATTTCTGAGACTACAGGTATTTGTTACTCTGCCTGGATTAGATTTGATGAATGTTTGTCAATATATTGATCTCAAATAAAACTGCTTTGGTTTTATGATTATATAGGTAAATTAGTAAGAATGTGAAAGCAATTTCTAAAAATATCTTTTGGCTAGCACTTCCATAGCTTTCTGTCACCCCTGGAATACATTAGCTAGTCAACATCTAATCCTATATCTTGCATACTGCTTCATCTGAGTTAAGGATCCCTTTCAATAAGGCTAGTTGGTGATAGGGTAATAGATACTGACTTTTAGTTCAATGTTATTTTTATTACATCAGCTAGATATGAGTGGTCTTGAAAGATTCTTGAGAGACAGCTATGGCTTGTATTTAGATGGCCCCTTAAAGCCTCATGAAGTCATAGGTGGGTCTTTTCAGAGGTGGCTGGATCCAGAATATGTGATGCTGGGATTAATTCATGGTGCAATACTAAGATCGGGGCACTAGGATTAAGGGTATGAGTGCTACCTGCCCTAAGTAGCCTGGATAGGATATAAGAGATAGAAGTAACTGTGGACATTCCTTGCTTGCTTGCTTCATTCCTTGCTTTTGCTACCTTCAATTCACCATGAACTGTTTCTGTTCTGCGATACTTATCTGCCATGCCAGCCTGCCTTGGAGCTAGGTGAATATGGACTGAAACCTCTGCCAACTGTGTGAGTTAAATAATTCTTTTCTCCTTTAACTTTACGTGTCAGGTATTTTGTCTCAGCAATAAGAAAGGTAACCAAGAGAGGGACTTACAAGACTCTCGATTTTTGGGAAATAATTATCTGTGTTCAGATATATCATTTTAAATTCAATTTTACATGAACACATTTCCATTTATACTATCTTAGAATAAAAGATACATGAACAAGCAGAAAAAAAGGTTTACCTTTTTAAGATAAAATGTAATTTAAATAACAATATACGCATATATGTGTCTATGTATGCATTTATGAATTATGTATGCATATAAAATACAATGTCAGTAGGCATAGAGAAGATATAAAATTTGTATTATTTTTCTTTTCCATATATAAAATGTCCACCCTATATTCTGCTTTTAGGTTATCATTAATCTGTGTTCAGGGAATGTAAATTTGTTTTAGGATTGAAATAAAAAGTGATTTGGCAATAATTATTTCTCAGAAAATTATACAGAAATGCTTATACAATACATATAAACACACATACACAAACACACATGTAGATGACTCAAAAGTAAAGTATCTCTATAAATACACATGCATGTTTCTACATACACAGAGACACAGACACACACAGATATAATTTATCTGTGTGAAGTTATCTCAGAAAATTATTTCTATAATTTTTTTCCTTGGCACAAAGAGTATATTCCCTGTATTCATTTTTTTTAAAGTATTTATTTGCATTTTAAAAGTTGTTTATAGATGTCTTTGGGAACAGCATCTTTCATTGATTTGTGGTTGATTTATATTTTCATTATAAGCTACTATCCATTACCTACTTTGTAACCCTCCTAATTTGATTGTGTATGTCATTCAGAATTTAATTACTATCATAACTCTTCATCTTAAAAAACACAATTAGCACAATATTCTAAACATTTAAGGGGAATAATCTTAAGTCATACCATAGTTTTTTTTTAATATTTTTCAAAAAGTAACTGATTTCACAAACACCACCCTAAACATAATTTAGACAACTGAGAAACAGGCAAGTATATATTAAAATACTAAAATAAACACATTTATACAAGTACAAAGCAAAAAAATGCTGATAAAAATGTTATACTTTATGAAAAATCATTTGCAATTCACATCAAAATAATTTAACATTCTCCATTATTTTAATAGTACAAGCTGTAACAACAGAAAAGGAACAAATACCGCACACAATTTTAAAACCAAATCGGTTATAAGTGCAGAAAAAAGTAAGTACAAGCACTTTTAGCCCACACAAATCTTTTGGAATTGGCACCATCTTTCTAAAACATCTATATTCTATATAGATTTCTAATTACAACATCACCAGCAGCTGCCATTGAATTCTAGAAATACACACAATATACATAGTATATTTGTTCACATTGGGAAGATCAGTGAAATTTAGCCAACTATTTTATACATGCCTCATTTTTCAATAAACAGTAGAGAATCTCCCAGGCCGCAGACCCTCTTCAAAGGAAATTCTGATTTATCTTTATTCTTTCACTGATCTGTATTTTTTTCACAGTATAAAATTGTAAATGGTAACTATAGAGATTCTGACAGCTTGAGGGTTATTAAGAAGCTGTTACTAAATGTGAACTCATAACTTTGAAGTCTCCAAAACATGTACATTTTGCTGAGACTAGCATAGGAAATTTTTTTTCTTAAAAATAATGCTTAATTCCTGGTTTGGAAGTCACAGAACTGCAACAGAGCCATTATATGATTCATTTGTAATCAATAATAGCTCCTACTCTTCCTGATTACTTGCTGGAACTTCTATAGTTTGGGAAAGACTATTACTTTCAAAGATTAGCACATTTGGGAATTTGCTTTTTTTTTCCTTTGCTTCAGTCAAATGTCTTATGATTTTCCTCTGCATTTTGCCTTTCTGCTCCCTAACTCTAGCCCCAAAATGTGGTTCTTCCCAGTTCACGCGTGGTCTTCTTAGGATGCCCTCACATCTCTCCCAAAATAGAAAGATGAATGGACTGCTTAGCCAGTATAACTATCAAACCAGGTCTCTTTTTCTTCCTAGGATCAAACTCTCCTTTTGGCCATTTAACTGATCCTTATCATTTCACTACACTTTTCCTTCCTTTTCCTCATAGAGGTCCCAAATGAATTATCACTGGGCACCAGGAAAAGTGTATTTTCAAGGAAATCAATGAGCATAGGTACCCAAATAGTTGTGAAGTTCATAGCCTAGCCCTAGAATAGATAATCAGTTCTCTTTGTATTGTAGAGTTATTACTTGGAACCTGGTATTAGAATTGGCAAGAGACAGAGTTAGCATCATTCCAGAATAAAAGATCTCAAGAATGTGTTACTAATTATATTATGCCCAATATACAATGTGTTCAATGAAGTGGCAAAGGTTATAGAAATATAGAAAAAATACATCTCATTCCTAATTGGATAAATTACTTTTATTACATTTGATCATATATCACGTGAATTATCAAATGGAAATTTATTTGTATTAAATTTCAATTTCTTTTTATTTTGCAACGGGGATCAAACTTGGGTCCTTGCACTTATGAGGCAAGCTAAATCCCTGGCCCTTAAATTTTAATTTCTAATGAAGTTTTTTATACATGAGGTGGTTTTTTTGTTTGTTTGTTTTGTATACATGAGGTGGTTTTAAAAAATATGGCACTGAAAAATTAGAAAAGAAATTTGATCATGGAGTTTTGAAAATGTTCTGCTGATCAACACGAAACTTACAATACTTGAGAATAAAGTAGAAACAAACCTAAGTATTTTCTGAAATAAATTTTAAAACATAAGACAGTAGAGCATATTTAGAAAGGTATCAATACCTCAGAAATCAAGATAGAAATCCCTAGGTGAATGAATCACCTTTTTTGATGAGGATACAGCAGTATTACTTCAAAATATTTACATTTGTTTTTCATGTAGAGGCAGACATTTGTTTCAGTGAAGACATAAAAATTAGATTTTATTTGTTTCAATAATCTCATTAATATTTGGGATTAGGGTGTTCTGATAATGTTATCTTTAAATCTGGCACAGGAATTTTGATTACTTTTAAATGAATGTTTTAATACATTTAATAAATATTTTAATAAATTAGCTTTTAATATTTCACATTGGAAGAGGTGATTTAAAATTTCAAAGAATAGATGTAAGAAACAAAGTCAGCAAGCAATATATTTATAATACCTTTTAAAAGTGAAGAATGATACATTGTTCTAACAAATTTCCATTTCTCAATTTTTTAAAAAAAGATGTGAAATAAAAAGTATTAAAATAAGAATCATATGAACTAAAAGAAACAAATTCTATTTTATCTCTCTGCCAAAAATATACTTTTGCTTTACAGCAAATCTTTTTCATAAGGCTATCTTTAGTATAAGGCTGGGTCAACTGAACTTTAAATTTATAGGACATCTCCTTTTATTACTAACTTTTAAAAACCAAAGATATTTGGTACCTGAGGATAGTTGCAAGGGGACGAATAAAGAGATGACAGTGGATTCAGGTCTTGAGTTATGATTTCTACCTTTATGAGTCTATCATAGCACATATTTTTATGTTAACCCTAAATCTCTTTTCTGCAGTATTTTAAAAAATGACAGTATGAAGTGCACAAAATAATATTCATAATTGCTTTAAAAAGGAAAATATTAATAATTGCTTTGCCTTTTTTTGGAATGGCTAAGAAAGACTGTACTTGATATTAAGGTTCCTCTGTTTTAATATTCTGTATTGCTTTGAAAAATCTACATTTGTCATAGTTCATAGCTGCCCTATTTAAGCAGCCAGGAAAGGTTAAAAATCACTGCTCATTGGCACAGCAAAATCTCTGCTAAGCCAACTTCACATAGTTTAAAATTTCCAGTGTATGAAGACTGTGTTTTTTTCAACAACAGTCTCTCCAATCGTGACAATGTCTTCATTGGGTCTATGAACCACTCGTCCAGTGGTGGGACTCAAAGGAACAGAGGAGCTCTTAGTGCATCAGGTTCTTGAAAGAAAGGAATGAAGAAGCCCAAATGCATATTTTAATACTTTATCTGTAATACTAACGGAAAAGCATTCATAAGGAGGAGTGCATGTGTATCATGAAAGAGCCAGGCTGGAGCGCAAAAATTATTATTAGAAAGAGAATTTCCAGCTACACAATGCACCCCGGTGAGGGAATTACAAAACAGTATTCCAGAAAATATTTTTTTGCTACTCCAGTATTGATTTGGCAACATGGTGAAATAGTCAAGAAATCTTCCACCGGTTTTCTCGGTTAATGGAGGTGAATCTGAAATAACTTGGTGAAATCCCAGATGCAGGCTTTTGGAAGAATATTTCACAAACAAATTGGAAGGTCTCTGGTAGAAGCCCTAGGTACATGAGCTCAGCATTCACTGTCAAGTTGTGTGTTAGCATGGGCCACACTCACGACGACGCCTCAGTCAATACTGGGCCCAAGTTACTGCTTTTCAAGGTCTTTACAGGAAAAAAAAAAAGGAAAGAAAAGAAAAAAAAAAGAGAAAGCTTGACGTTTTGGTCCCAGATTGTGAGTTTATTAGAAAATGTACATTCATGTTTCGTGAATCAAAGACTCTTCTGGGAAAAGAATGCAAGTAAACAAACAAAACTTTTTACAGTTGCTTATGAACTTGGCTTTTCGCCCTCCATTACGCTGTTTCATTCTTGGTGCTTCCCTAGAGCAAATCACTTGATATATAACTGATCAAATTCTTGTCAGCCCTCAAAAATATAAGCAGTGTTTCTTAAAAGCCCATGTTTTCTAAGGCCACTAGAAGAAAATCTGCCAAAAAAATTGTAGTTGGTGTATTCGTCGGTTGTTGCAAGATAGCACTATTCATCTCTTGTTTCCATGACCGGTGTACTTGGCGTCTTCTACCTCAGGCCCCACCGATTGGGTGACTGCGTGTCACTGCGTGCGTCTGTGAGAAGAGCGGAGGGCTCTGCTCCGCACGCGGGTCCCAGCGAGGATCCAATGACATTCACAACGACGAGGAGCTCTGAGTGTAATCTCGTATGATCAGAGTGTCATATTTGGGAGATGACGGGATACAGAGGGCCGACTCGGACACTGGCGAGGTGGGGGTTGTGCTGCCCGAGTCCACCGAGTCTCTGAAGGGGGACGGCGGGGTGAGGGCCACCAACTCCTCCAGATCCGGTTTGCCAGCTGCAGCCTCGGGGCCGGCCGCGGGGGGCTCCAGGGCAGCACCCCCTGCCGGCGGGG